ATCCGTAAGACTTGAAAAAATCCACGAGATTGCTCTATATGTCCGTATACCTGCAAAATGACTTCTGAAATGAAATCTTTATGAATCACTTGGGTTGTTACCGACATCTGGTGAAAATTTCATGTCATTAGCACCTCTAGTAATATATTTACTGAGAAAAATGGTGACGTGTTTAATACTTATTTTACCCGCTGTATTACAGCATAATAAATGCATTTCTTACACATTAGATTTATTTAATCCATWTAGTAGCTTAAACACTTGTCTTCCAAATTTCTATTTTAAAGTTTCTGTCATGCTTTTGATGGTGTGGCGTTAACGTTCAGCGGAATGCCCGTGTGCCGTTTTTGTTTCATTTTATTTTGTAATGTCGTTTCTGTGTTTCTGTTCATCCTGTGTCCGTGTGCAATGCATCAAAATTGACGTCTAGGCCCTCCTCTTTCGATTGACACCTCATTTGACCAACTGGGTTCAAGTGTCAGCTGTTCAGAGCCAATAATATGTGAGAAGTGACCAACTTCCGGTTTCTGTCACCCTGGGCTTGATTTACTGTAGAATCGGCCAGTSAGCTCCGAGCTTCGTTCTGATGYCACAGCTGTGTAGCCAATCAAGTACCTTTCATTTGGTGTATACAGAGCCCTATATAGAGAGAGTTGCAACACTCTTTGAACCAGCCGACACACGGTCACGTGTTTCATGGAGCTTCCAAWAGTTCCWAACAAAGCAGCGCTGTCWGTCGGTTTGAGCCGATTCTGACGGGACAGAGCGCAAAAACAACCACTTAATTTCCCCCGCGATCCCGGTAATTATTAAGCAATGACAAACTGATTATTTCAATGCCTAAGCATTTTATAGAAACATTTTTAGGAGGAGCAGGGACATTTTTCCATGGTTTAACATTTTAGAGGGAAACGAGCCTAGTAGTAACACGTAAAATACATACAGGCTATAGATCATACTTATTAATAAAAATCAAGCATCTATACAATACTGATCAATATGTCTACAGTGGTTCATAGTAAAGTTATGCCTGTAAAGACCACCAAACATGGGTAGCAATACACATATAAAGCTTTCTGATGCTCTCCATGCTAGCATAAATGCTATACCTACATTTAGCTGTCAGGTCTGCTCCAACTTACTGTACCTTCAGATCTATCCAACTACAAAACAATATTACGTTTTCCAGGATTTATTGTCCCAAACAACCAGGAGTACTACATGTCAGTCTGTTCTCTCTGCCTGCTCTCAGATGAATAAAATGAGCTGAATGACAGAGTAAAAAAATGATCTCAGACATTTTAAATGACTTGGTGGATAATCTRTAGCTGWCGCTTARACAAAGACCTGGGAGGAATTCTTCTTTTCTGTACAAGTCTAYTCTAYATTCCATTGTTGGTTTTTCATGTAAACAAAGTATCTATTACCTTGTTAATTGGGGACTTTAGCCAACTACTGTGAAACAGTAATTAATTGATTAAAATGTTGTTTTTAATTAAACTGTTTACAGTCAAAATCAAATTAAATGAAAAAATATGTGTCAATTGTGAAAAACCAAACATAGAAACATTTTATTATAAAATATAATGCAAAATGTAAAACAAACTCTTATAAAGAAGTATGTTTACTACTATTTATACTGTTTATTTATTACATCTGCACAAACAAGCCATCTGGTTAAATTTGGACGGTGTGCTCCGGTCCTGAGGGTTCCTCCTTGGCATCAACAGCAGCTCTTTTTGATGTCAGTCACATCTGTTGACCTCCCTGAAAATAACCATAGAGAAACAATGCAGAGGATTCATTAAAAATCATTTTCACAGATGAAAATTGATATTGAAAATAAAGTGGTAAAATGTGTTTTGATGGAAATAGTTGGAATTAAAAGTGATAAATAAAATGTTGAGGGTGGAATAGGAGAAACGTTTACAGTGTAATTGGACAGATAACTATATTTGTTAGTTTTGTACAATGTTTTACATATAGAAATGTGTATTTAAATAAACCTTTTTTTAGGATGATTGTGTTACCATGGTTGGCTGTGCCGCATTTGGATGCACCAATCGGTCGGAGAAAGGGCTCAGAATGTATGGTTTCCCAAAAGACACAGAAAGAAGAAAGAAATGGTTGGCTCAAGTCAGCAGGATCAACCTCACCATCACCAGAGGTCATAATAACAGAAAACTGTGTGCTGTAAGTTTAAGCTGCACTCATTTTAATTTGGGCTCAACATGTTTTACTGTCATATACACAAAGCCCCAATGAAAATAAAATAAAATAATAATTCTACAGGTACATTTTGATGGAGGGCAGTTCATGATCAACTGAGACTAAGGGCTGATGCTGTTCCAACTCATTGCTGTGAGCCAAAAAGAAGGAAGGGTCCTGCAGTGAGAAATAGGACAGAACTTCCACTGCATTTTCATCCACTGATCAATGACCACACATACTGTAACAAAGTCAACATTGGTATGCACTGTTAAATATTAAATTTATTATTATTATTTTACTTATTTATTTTACAATTACTCTTCATGCTAACTGTGCCATTATAATTTCARAGATTGAGAAAGGGAGCAACAGAAATGAGGCAAGCAAGATAAGGGAAAGTGAAAAGGAAGATGAAATTGTAGCATCAGAGGACAGGGACAYTCCAGAAGCTGATGATGAACCAGGGTCAACAGCGCCAGGAGAATGTGTCAACCCGCTATGCAAGCAGGGAGCTGAGGTGAAAAGCCTGAGGGAGGAATTAAAAAGCCAAAAAGATCRCATAAGGAAGATAGAAGGAAAACTTAAAAGACAGAAAAAAATCAATGCAGTCCTACGAAAGAAAGTTTTGACTTTTGAAACGAAATTGGGTCATATTTTTTACAAAAGATCAGATCAAGGCCATTGGCATGAAGAATAAAAGAGGCATTAGATGGAGCAAAAACACACTAAAAAAAGCAATACAACTCCGGTTTTCAGCAGGCTCAACAGGCTACAGGCTTCTTCAGGACATGAA